ACAAAAAAAAAAGATCTCCACCCAAACCACTACATTTTTGGGATGCACCTAGTAGCATGACATTTATTAGGAATAAAGTCTTCTGAATTCTGGTGCATTTGTGCGTGCGGGGGTCATTATGTTACTGCTATGCGGTATCTAGTTATAGCTTTGGGGATATGACAGATTATTTAAATTAGTCCCATTTTCCAGTTAATTAAAAAAATTCCCACAACTTCCATTAAAATTTTCCAAATTGCCCCCTTTGCAGCCTGATTAGGARTAATCTAAAAAAATGTATTTCTTTTCAATTGTACCAGAGCTTCCTCCCTTCTTCAAGAAAGAATTATTAGAGTTGRAGGCTGAGGAGGGAGGTACAATCTCCTTGTGCTGTGAACTATCCAAGCCTGGAGTCTCAGTGCAGTGGAAGAAAAACAAGACATCTTTGAGACCCAGCAGCAAGTATGAGATGAAGCAAGAGGGCTGCTTCATTCAGCTTAATATCAAAGATATCACACCTGAGGATAGTGGCAGCTACACCTGTCAAACAGGAAGTGCAGAGACCACTGCAGCTGTTTCAGTGAAAGGTTTGTGAATATGGAATGATGGTCAATTTTACTGCTTATCAGCTAAATATAMGCAGTAAGCTGGAAATCTTTTTCCCCATCCTATTTAGCATTTTTAGACAAGGTCTAAGCATTTTTTTAACAATATTGGAGTTGGAGAGCTAATAATTCAGTCAACAATAAAATTAGTCTTGTCTCCTGCTATTTGCTGGATTTTTTCTGTTTTTAATCTTTGCTCATTTCCTCAGAACTCCCACCAGTCTTTAAGGAGAATTTGAAAGATGTGGTGTTCGAGGAGGGAGGTACTGCCTCTCTGGTCTGTGAGGTATCTAAACCAGGTGTACCAGTACAATGGAGGAAGAACAGGCTCCCACTGAGAGCGAACTGGAAGTACGAGATGAAGCAAGATGGCTGCTTCCTCCAGCTCCACATCAAGGACCTCACACCTGAAGACAGTGGCAGCTATTCATGTCAAACAGGAAGTGCAGAGACCGTGGCTAACGTGACAGTGAAAGGTTGTGTCTAAGACAAAACTATTTTCACATGATTTGCTAATCATTTTATGTATTGTTTTTGTTTCACTCTGCTAATCGTTTTATATTATCTTTTTTGGAATTGTGAACTCATAAGTTGTCTGAAAAAAATATATTTCCTGCCCATTTTTTCAGAGCTTCCTCCTTTCTTTAAGAAAGAGTTAAAACGTGAGGAGACTGAGGAAGGAGGTACAGCATCACTGGTGTGTGAAGTGTCTAAGCCTGGAGTGTCGGTGCAGTGGAAGAAAAATAAGGTGCCATTAAAAACCAGCAGGAAGTATGAGATGAAACAGGACGGCTGCATAGTTCAGCTCAACATCAAGGATCTCACACCTGAAGACAGTGGCAGCTACACCTGTCAAACAGGAAGTGCAGAGACCACCGCAGAGTTGTCAGTGAAAGGTACATACATTTTGAAACTATATTCTAAAGATATTCATCCATGAAAATTGAGTGCATGTTCTATCTTATTTGGTACTGATGCATTTTCTCAGAGYTCCCACTGATCTTTAAGAAAAATTTGAAAGATGTGGTGTTCGAGGAGGGAGGTACAGCCTCTCTGGTCTGTGAGGTATCTAAACCAGGTGTACCAGTACAATGGAGGAAGAACAGGCTCCCACTGAGAGCGAACAGGAAGTACGAGATGAAGCAAGATGGCTGCTTCCTCCAGCTCCACATCAAGGACCTCACACCTGAAGATAGTGGCAGCTATTCATGTCAAACAGGAAGTGCAGAGACCGTGGCTAACGTGACAGTGAAAGGTTGTGAGCTTAAGGAACCTAGTTCTGTTTACAATAAGGCCAAAAAATTTTTTATTAAAAAATGCATTTATTGTATTTATAACACAATCATTTAATGTAAAAGTCTTACTTCTTTCACATTTTTCCCAGAGCTTCTTCCTTTCTTCAAGAAAGAGTTATTAAGTGTGCAGGCTGAGGAAGGAGGTATAGCAGCGCTGGTCTGTGAAGTGTCCAAGCCTGGAGTGTCGGTGCAGTGGAAGAAAAATAAGGTGCCATTAAGAACCAGCAGGAAGTATGAGATGAAGCAGGACGGCTGCCTAGTTCAGCTCAATATCAAGGATCTCACACCTGGGGACAGCGGCAGCTACACCTGTCAAACAGGAAGTGCAGAGACCACTGCAGCTTTGTCAGTAAAAGGTACATACATTTAAGATCTAAAAATATATACATTAAATTGTCTGTTTTAAAGAATACGTTAGGGTTTAAAACTGTCTGAAGTCTGTACCGGTGCTGCGTAGATATCTTTAAATTCTATATCTTTATGTGACATGTCTTGGATTCAAAGAGAAAGCCTCAAAACGAGTTGATCTCAGACACACTTCAGAAAAGGGGTGAAAGGGGGCCTTGTGGAGCTACAATAAAAAGGAATTCAAACCAAAGCATTGCAGTTCCACTTTTTCTAGACCCCAACTGAATGATATGGAAGTGAAAAAGCATAATATGTCTAATGTATAGCAAAATTTATGAACAGTAGTATAGTCATCCAATCGTAATATTTTTGCCACTTATCTGTGTTCGGGTCTTGGGGGAACAGGTACTGGAGTCAAMCTTTTAACTTTTCCTCCTCTCATAGTAATGACTCCTATTCACCAGTCTTCAGACACCTAAAAGATGGATTAAGGAAATCCCCAAAGTGTTCGAATAATATCCCTTGTCTAGGTCAGCAGTTCCCCACCCAAACCAAGCACCCTGGTTCACCATATCCAAGTCATTACCAGGTGGTGAAGGCTGGTTGACAGTCCTACCCCTCTCTTCTCTAAGACATAGAAACACAGGTCTGATGCCAAAATTATGAAATCAGCCTTTGACCTTTGACCCAATATGACCTGATACTAAGTACACTTATGAACTTCACTATACTATGTATATGGGATTTTATATGAATTCTCATGAACATATATACTGTATGTTGCAACACACACAGGCCAATTATATATTTTCTACCTTATTAATACTGAACTTCTTTTTATTTGTTTATCTGCTAAATGTTATTTATAGAGCTTGCTCCATTCTTCACCAAAGAAATACAAAGTATAGAGGCTGAAGTGGGCAATACAGCTACCATGTGCTGCGAGTTATCCAGACCTGGAGTGCCTGTTCATTGGAAGAAGAACAATCTGCCCCTGAGAGCCAGCAGGAAGTATGAGATGAAACAAGATGGCTGCTTCCTACAGCTGCACATTAAGGAGCTCAGGTCTGAGGACAGTGGTAACTATTCTTGCCACGCTGGAACTGCGGCGACCTGTGCAGCTGTGCACATAAAAGGTTTGTGCGTTTGTAAATTTAAGTAGCAAGCTTTGAGGAACATGATGATTTTATCAATGTTATTTTGTTTTTAACCCCTTCCACTGTAGCCCAACAAACAGCTCCATCAAAAGCAGACTCTACCTCAGTACTTCCACAGACAAAAGATGCTGTTTCTAAACCAGCTCCTGATTCAGAGAAAGTCAGAATCAGCCTGTCAGAGTCTAAACCTGCTCCACCTGAGCCCAAAAAGAGGACAAACAGGAGAATGTCTATTACAAATTCAGACAATGATGTGGAACCACATTTTGACCTAAAGGCATCTTTGCTGAAAGAGAATGAAGACCAAAAGGGCATCCAGCACATGAAATCAACAGATAAACAGACTAAGGTTGCACAGAATGTCACACAAGTAGAAAGAAATAAAGAAACTGACAATGGTGTGAACAAGAAAGATGCTAAGTCAGTGAAAGCAAGCATGAAGACTGCAGAGCCAACTGGATATGCAGACACAGACAAAGAAGCTTTCTTGGAAGGGAACCAACCAGAGGTGAATGCAAGGGAAAGTGTTGATTTAGACCCTAAAATAAGTCAGCCAGAGAGACATTTGGGCAAAARCTTGATTGAACTAAAACAGGTGGGAAAAGATTATGAAACAAAAAAGAGTTTGAAACTGCAAGAAACAACAAATGTAGTTAATCAACAGATGAAACAACTGGCAACAATATATACAGACAGTCAGGATGATAAACACCTTGAGAAAACACAAGAGAAAGTTAATGGGAAAGAAACGACTGATCAAAATGCTCCGTCTTTAGAAAGAATGAGTAAATTAGAAAAGATGGAAGAGGTGCCTTTAATACCACCAGCAAGAATGAAAGGAAAGGTAACATATGGAGTCAAGTGTAATTCAAAAGACACAGAGGATATCCTTCCTCAAGTCATAAAGGCTGCAGAAGACCACAAACAGACAGAAATGGAGAGAGAGGAAGCAACGCTGAAACTAACAACCTCTGTAAATCAGCTGGAAAAACAGGCAGTGAAAAAACAAGAAACGCTGATTGAAAAGGTTTGTGAATTTGCCTTTCCAAAGCCACCTACAAGGACAAAAGGCAAAGCAAGAAAAGAAATGGAAAAACAACTTTCAAGGGACACAGAGACAGATCAAGACGAGCAAGAACCAAGAAACATGACAGATTCAGTTGGAGATAAAACTATAAAACAAGTAATAAAGACAAAAAAGACTGAAGACAAACCAGGATTAGAGGGGAACCAGTCTGTTGTAACGGACAATAAAACTCTGAATAAAGTAAAGCAGCCAATCAAGCAGCCCATTAAACCAATTAGAAAAGAACAAGAAGCAGTTCAGCAAGTGAAGTCGTCTGTAGAACCGATGAGAAGAGAGGAAGAACAACACACATCAAAGAAGGCGGAAGATGTTCCGCTTCTCTACATTTCAGAAGATGAAACGTTCTCAGAGGCACTGACTGAGCTACCACCTAACCACGTCCATCCCATTGTTGCTGATGAGGGGCATCCAGGAGAGCTGCCTCTCCAGGAGGTACAGCCACTAAAGCAGTCTCTTCTAGAGGCTGATGATGAAGCCCAAATGCAAGAGGCTGCAGTCAAGATCCAAGCAGCTTTCAAAGGCTTCAAAACCCGCCGAGACATGAAGCCAACTTTTAAAGAGGTATTCAAAAACCAGAATGCAGATCTACATGGTACACTCACTYTAAAGTGCATCGTAGAAGGGAAACCCAGCACAGTGCACTGGTTGAAAAATGGCCAGCATATCGCAAACGATCYGCGTTACCGGGTTGAAACTTCCGATAATGGAGAATGCACACTCGTAATCAAAAACTTAACCAACAGCGATAGTGGAGTTTACACCTGTGAGGTGGCAAACAAGTTCGGTGTGACCTCCTACAATGGAAACATAACTGTAGTAAAAACAACGCAACCTGCCAATGCGCCCCAGAAGCCGGTACACCCACCGCTGGCTGCTATAACTCCTTTGCAGCTTGCGCCAATAAAACCTGAAGCTAAAGCTGAAACACAAAGTCAGGATCAGTTTCAGAGTCRAGCACAGGTGGCAGCTTCAGGGACAGATGCGGGAAACTATGTTGAAAGCGTGAGCGTGACTCTGTGGGAGGTCTTCAACCTGACTGAGCAGGACACTCAGAGGAGCCTGCAAGAGAGAAGACGGTYCTCACTTGTTGCAGTCAGCTCCAGTGAGTAACATACAAACAAAATTTTATTTATTACTAAACCATTCTTTATTTATGTGGTTTAATTTTTTACCCTCAACAGTGTCGAGTCCCTCTGATTACGACACAGCTCCAGATGTAATTGAACCGGTTGAGATGGTTTCGGTTGTTACAAGGTAGCAGATTGTTCCTTTTTTTTTACATTGCAACTTTAATTATGTTCTTATAAAGATACAAGCAGCTGTCTTTACAAATATTGCTACAGTGAAGTAGTAAAACCAGAAGACAAAGTGACTCCAAAGAATGAGAAGGAAGAAATGACTCCGCTGCAGCCTCTTAAGAAACTTTTGAATGTCAAAGGTCAGTGATCATCTTTAGTTTTTTACTTCATTACATGTTTGGAGATCGGGAAAATCTGATTGCAACAGTTTGATAATTTTCAAAGCAGATTTATGTGAAGCTAGTGTACGAAAAACACGCATAAAAATAAGTTTGCAGAAAACAAGTTGATTCTCTTCCAAAAAAATTTATTAAAGGATCTGAACTTCATTTCGGTCAGCTCACAGTTTGTCAGCTGTGAGTTTGAGGCCTTGGGCCTTATCAGAATCATAACAATAACAATGTTTTGTTATTGTTAACTTGTTATTGTTAGTTATCCTCTCAACAGCCCAGTGTTTATTGTAGGCTGCACTAAAAAGAATAATGAATCATGCATAACCCTCTTAAAGTCACATCTACATAAACCCAACTTCCTGGTCACACCCCTGGGACTGTTACCTTTTCTGTCAGATAGTAGAATAGGCTTTGCTTTTTTTTTATCAATTGATTAAAAAAAGAATAAGCTTTGCTCTCCTGTGGATGAGGGCCACATTGATGTAAACACACAAGACGAGATCTTAGTTACAATATTTCCTTATTAAAACCTGCTGATTTGAATTATATTTTAATCCATTTCTAATTTTATTGTATTTTTAGGAAAAAACAGCAGAAATGTGTTTGTACAACAGTTTTATTTTTTATTTTCAAAAGTTTTATGCCAAAATAGTCACTTTTTCTTTTGTTTCTATTTAAAGAGACTTGTGAAAGTAAACTGAGGACACCATCTCCAAAACATCTCCGTTCCCACACACCTTTAACAAGTACTGTATCAGGATCTGAGTCAGAGGGAGAAGAGGACAGGCGAGAGGTACAGTATTCTCTGCATTCATGCAATTTTCTGGGTGTCTAAAAAAACAAGAGTCTATTTTATCTGTTTTTTTCTATCTTACAAATGTATATTCTAAGTCATATAATTTACAACTGTGTACTTTTCCTCAGACATTTGAAATATACGTGGCTCGAGCTGACTGCAGTCCAAATTATGGAAATAAGGACAGTTTTGTTCTGAAAGAGGGTCAGTTTGTGGAGGTCCTGGATTCTGTTCATCCTGACAGGTGGCTGGTCAGAACCAAACCAACCAAAACTAATCCCTCTCGTCAAGGATGGCTGTGTCCAGCCTATCTGGAGAAGAAGAGAAAGGTAAAATCTACAATCCAAGTTTAAGTATATTGACTCATTTATCATGTTACACAGTCAGTAATGACACTGAGGTTTTTCAAACAGGAGACTTTCCCTCAAAGAAGAATACCTCAAGAAGATCTTGATGGGATTGGGTCTACGGGTGAAGAGTACAGAAGAGCTCTCAGGTCTGTTGGTTTTAGTTTGTTTTACTGCATATTAATATTGTGGTCTGAATTTTTGCTGTAACTGTTAACGAGTCTCATCCAGTCTGCTTCCATTTGTTTTCAGTCAGCTGATCCAAGGCCTGATTGATGGGGAAGAGGAATTTGTAAAAGCGATGAAGACGTTTATCTCTCAGCAGCTCAGTTGTCTGGACCGCAGTCACCACGTCCCCGTGAACATCCTCCACCACAAAGAGATCGTCTTCAGGAACATCAAAGATATTGTGTTCCTACACGAACGGTAACGCACACTCAAATGCACAACATTATGGTATTATTTCAATAATAAATGGTAAAGAATCAGACTTTTTGTTTTTTGCAGTTCTATTCTTCCTGGTCTGAGAACGTGTGCTACAGATGATGATGTTGCCATGCATCTGATTAAACACACTGAAGACTTTGAGACATATCTTCACTACATGGTGGGACAAGCTCAAGCAGAGGCCTGCATCAGCGACAAGACTGTCCAGCAGTACTTCCAAGTATTTACATCTGCTCACATCTGTTTTCAAGCTGTTGAACTACTACATTTTACCTGATGTTCATTCTGTTGTTATATACATTTTAGGAGATACAAGGATCCGAGAAGTCTGATGCTCCAGTCATGGATGTCCTCACTTTTCTTCAGCAACCAGTGGAGAGGATTCAAACCTACCAGGCTTTACTAAAGGTCTGCATTCAGCAAGGTTTTATCAAACTTTTTTAAATTTAATTAAAACTTTGAAACAACCATTATTTCTTTGTCACTAATCTTCCTCTAGATGCATATTCTTATCTCATCCTGTAATTTATTTGTCTGATCTCAGTATTAATTTAACATTTATTTATTTATTTATTTATTTATTTATTTATTTATTTATTATCAGGAGTTAATAAAGAATAAAGCTAAGAGTGGTCAGACCTGCTATCTGTTGGAGGACGGCTTCTCATTGGTGTCCTGCTTGCCTTGGAGGTCTGACAACATGCACCACGTGTCCCTGATTGAAAACTATCCAGCTCCTCTCACTTCTCTGGGTGAGCCCGTGCGACAGGTAAGGAGAGACAACAGGCAAATTGTGTGTTTCTGTTATATTCCATTTTTATATTAATATAATCAGCGCGTACAAAAAGTCAAGAAAAGTTAATAAAAGTATTCTCGAAGGTGTTAAGACCATTTAATCTACCAGTTTGGTTCACCAGTCTGTCATTCTCTCTTTTTTTCTCCTTGAGCTGTGTCTCTTCTCAATCTTTTTTTATTATTTGATTTTTAATTTTAGGGAGTCTTCACAGTGTGGGAGGAAKCTCCAGAAATGAAGACTACCTCTAGAGGGCATCAAAGACAGATATTTCTCTTTAAAGAATGCATTGTACTGTGTAAGCTAAAAAAAGACACCAGCTTGAACCGGGACTCATACACCTTCAAGAACAAGATGAAGGTAAAATTAAATCTTATTTCACTTTATATAAATTACTGTACTGCACTAGTGTTTTTTTTCCATTCTATAATGTGTCCAGTTGAATGATGTGGAAATCAAAGAGACAGTGGGTGGAGAGGACAGGTCTTGGGGTTTGTGGCACGAGCACCGAGGGTCTATTCGGAGGTATACACTTCAGGCCCACTCTACACTTGTTAAAGTCTCCTGGCTGAAAGACCTGAAAGATCTGCAGCAACGCTCCATCCTGGTCACTACCAGTAAGTCATCTCTACAGCAACATGTTTTACTTTATTATTTCTGCTACTGAGATTCAAATCTGTTTTATTAATAAGTATCCTAACAATCAAACTTTTCTCTATTCGTTGTGTTTTTTGTTAGAACCTCCAGTGTTTGAGTTGCTGCTATGTGACTGTACAACACAGATAGGACAGACCATCAAACTGACCTGCAGAGTGTCAGGATCTCCAAAACCTGCCATCAACTGGATTAAAGGTTGGAATTTTGCCTTTTAAAATAAAAAAAATGGATGCACAAGACTAGACAGATGTTTACTTATTTGGACAGTGAAAAAGGTAAATACATGAGCAAACGTACAATAAAATTTCTTGCCCTCTTAAAAGGGAGGTGTTATGCAAAATCAGCTTTCACGTTATAATGTTGTCCCATCAACAAAAGCATACTCAGAGTGTTGCTTTGACTCATTCAGGCATGTTTGAGAATCTCTTGTGGTAGTCGTGTGGAGCTGCCTGAAGGCTTGCTTGTACAAAGCACCGCCTATTTACACAAAGCTCCTCCTCTCAGTCTGCTGCTGAGCTCCCGCCCCACAGAGGACCCCTCCCCCGCACTTCCCCCACACACCTCCACTAGACCTGCTGGAACTGTACATCTGTTGAGCTTGCAATACTAACTACTTCTCAGTCCAGTCGTTTTCTGATTTTAAAAAAATGCGTTCATCTGGGAAATTTATTTTTGGATACCAAGGAGATACTCTCTTTTTGCAATTCTTAAGGATGACACCAAATGGTTGAACTTTTCTCCTATGAAAAGTTGTTTTGTGAATGCTGTGAAGCATTGTTGTGATGGTGTGCTGAATTGGGAGTGTCGGAAACTGTAGGAGGTTCTTATAGAGAAGAAGGCAAATTTCAAGGCGTTTAGATTTATTTTTAATATTTACAGCATTTTCAAAACAACTGAAGATAACATAGTTGATTGTGATATAGAATTGCATTATGTGCCTGGAAAATGCATAATACCCCCCTTTTCACATACATTTTATTAAAGAGCCCAAATTTATGTACATAAAAGCAAATAGAAAAGTACAATAATTCAAAATTAATGTAACTTATTCTTAGTAAAACCTCACATTTTCCACACATTTATTGTATAATTTAATGAGTATATTTTTGATGATTACCTTTTAGATGGTCTTCCCTTGGAGGATGACCCACATCACATCATCACAGCTGACCGGTCAGGAACATGCAACCTGGTACTGGACTGCCTCACCTCTGAGGACTCAGGACAGTACATGTGCTACGCCACCAGCTCAATGGGCAGAGCTGGAACTTTGGCTAAGGTGTTGGTTCAGGGTGAGACATATGCAAAGAGAACTGCATGCACTGTCAGACTACAGGCCCTTTCACACTTTTAATGTTTCAGACAACTTGTGCTGACTTATGAAAATTATGTTATGACTATTTTACTCACATTAGCTGTATATTTGATCCAATTGTTAGCATTACGGTATGTATATGTTCAAAAGAGGGTCGCAAGAATTTGTTTTTAAATTCAATGTTCAGCTTTGACATCTTTTATGTTGGATAAACTTTTCAAAAGTTGGCATAAGTTGTTTAAAGCTTTGCAGTGTGGCCGGACCTTACATTCATGTTATTGTGTYCTTGTCTCATTTCTGATTTGATCTTTCCAGCTCCACCCAGGTTTGTGAGTCGGCTGGAAAGTGCCTGTCTGATAGAGGGAGAAGATATCCAGTTCTCTTGCTCCACACGCACCGCTCCTTTACCCAGAATCAGGTATGGCAGCACAGAGAAGTCGAAGCCGGTGGTCTTTGTACCYGCTAACATCATGGATCTCTGCAGGTGGTGGAAAGATGGCAGGGAGTTGAAAAGCGATGATAAATRTTCTATTGTGAATGAYGCCCGAAGTGGAATCTTGTCTCTAACAGTCACTGGGGCGACAGAGGCAGACATCGGACAGTATGAGTGTGAGGTATACCAAATATATTTATAAGGATAACCAGTTACAGTATATTGCAAATTACAAACACTTTTTTTGTTTGTTTAGCTCTGGAATGAACTTGGCTGTGTCAAGTGTAAAGCAGGTCTTTGTCCCGCTTTTGTACCACCGGCCGACATCGACAGTGACCAACCCCAGGACTTACCTGCTAAAGGTAGGACTGTAGTAAACCCCTCCCACACACAGGGGAAGCTCCGGTTTTTTCTGTGTGTGGGCCACACCTTTAACGGGTCAGCCATGTTTGAAAATGGGTGAAGCACATACCATTGATCGGTTTTACTCCAGATCTCATCACCTCTTTCAGAAACACATTATGTGACATCTCCTCACAACAAACTTCAAAAAATCACCACTATCATTCCTCACAACATTTTGAGGTTTTACTCACGTACTTATTGTTCTTTCCCTTCATTTCAAACACACTCTCATGTCATGAGTACTGTAGTCCCAACTACCWTTGCTCTCGCTAGAATCCCAGCTATTATGGCATGAAGTGTGTCACAGMAGATAAAATTACTCACCATCAAACACAAAATATGCAAGTTGGATTTTTCAACCTCACCTTCTGCTGTTTGCTGACAAAGGGTGTGAATTTCATAGCTGCTCATAAGTGACAGAGAAAAGAGACAGATTTTGTTTGCAAAGCGTGACAAGATTTTGCTCCTAATAATTGAATTATCAGTTTATTGCAGATAAAAAGCACTTTTCTGTGTGTGTATAAATGTGTAAACTGTTGTAATTACTGCTTTTCTGGTTTGAGTTTGTCTTGATTATGACAGGTTTGTAAAAGAGTTTTTATATTCCACTAATTTTATTTCCTTCTTAAAAATAAATGAATGCGTAGCTAATAAAGTCACATAGTAAAGAGTGCATGTATTTGAATTGTGTTTACTGAAASCCTCGTCACAAACCTCTCATTTAAAGCTCACTCAATCAAATTTGACTTCTCTATCTTGACTCTACTGATCGAGTAATAGACCACTTTGAAATGTTGGCGTGTCAATGCACTGTTGGACTTTTATGATCACAAGGTCTATAATAGAAAATGCAATTTTAAGTTTTTACTTGTAAAAATATATTTGTGTCACTTGTGACATAAATATATTTAAATCTTTATTTTTAAGATGTAAGTACCACTTTTGTTGTTTAGTCTTTCTGTATATTTAGAATTGTATTCTTATCTGCWCTTACTGACACAGATGAACTACCGTACTTATTCAAGTATAATAYGTAAAATTAAATCCATAAAATCATCCATAAAGTTGGGGGGGTGGGTAGTACAATACTCGGATAAATATTTTTACTTATGTATTTTAACTCAAATATCGGCTTCATTCACAAAATGCCTGAGTCTGGAAATGAGACCGCGTCGTAAAAAGCAGCTGAAGCAAACTTACCTGAGGCACTCCTTCGTGCCTCAGAGCAAGATAGTAACAGATCCAGGCAGATGACATGATGTGAAAAAAAAGAAAGAAAAAAAGTATTCCTGTACCTTAGTAATGATAACGAACTAATGACATCAGCGTGTGACTGGGCCGCTGCTGGAACAACAACAAACACGTTTGTCTGTAATGGCTGCCGTCTATGATGTTCTGAAAAAGTTTGTATCCCTGAGAAAAGTTTCCCCACCAGAGGGTGTGCTTGCGAGTAGGAAGTAATCTGCTTTTCCCCCAGAAGATGGTCCAAATCTCATGTGAAGTCTCTGACTTTTGTGTTGGCGCATCCTGGTGGACTATGTGTAAAATGCCAGAATTCATATGATGCTGATACAGCTTATATACTGTATATATGTTGTCAAAATACCTTTTAGTACATATGTTGTTAAAATAAGATGAACAGTCCAATGATCATTTTACTGATATGTATAAAGACAACAAAGGCTGAAAAATCTTGAAGTCTGTATGAAATTGGAGGTAGTTTGAGGATTAATTTTTTATGCTTTTTTAAGCTCAAAAAAGGGGGGTCGTATTATACATGAGATCGTATTATTCACGAATAAATGCGGTAAATGCTACAAGATTAAAGAAATATTTAGTTATTTTAGGTCCTACTACCTACTTTACCAAATGATCCTACAGTTTGTTGGGACTTCTGCTCATGTACATAATAATATATACTCTTAACTGTGGGGGGATAAAAAAACGCTTCCAGAACAAGTTCAAAATTCTGATTTGTAGCTTAAAGATATGTAAAAATTAAGATTTAGAGCCAACACATTGGCTCTGTTTGACAGCTTAAATTTATCGATTAAATTTGTTCAATTTTAATGGCGTTTCCTTATCAACCTCAGTATCTATACTGTGCAACCTGTGACCACCACTTGGCRCGTTCAACCACGAAATGGTCTATTTACTTCACTAAGAAGTCTGCTGTAAATCCATTCATGCATGCACTGTTGCCAACACACTGATGATCAAGTGACAGAAACTGAGAACAGAACCAACCAGCTTCTGCTCCCGATCTGATGCCATACTGAGTGGGATCTAGTGGCAGCCACAAACGTCGAACCTCTCTAAATCAACTCTCGTGAAAAAACACTGATATGTTTATTTCATAAGATTATCTTGTGTTTTTTTATTATGTTTCCAATTTCCACCAAAGGCATGGATTGTAACAGATGTGTTACTTTCACACTATAACAAATTAATAATAAACGAAAAGTAATATTAGGAAAAGGGTATTGGTATTTTGAAATGGACAGTGGGTCAAAAGGATAAGTTGAACTCAGCAAATTTATTCMTTTATTTTTGACTCCATGTTTGTCCTTTCATTGTCCATAACTCACATGTTTCCCATCTTCCCTTCACTTGTCCTGAAGCAGGAGGTTCTCCACTTGGAYCGTTCCATCTAAGTCATCTCTGACATGATAACAAATAACCTCTCAACATCCCCCCCTTTCTCTTCCTGCCAACGCATGCCCAGCTAACTCTCCACTGCAACAAGATGGTCATGTGCTGGGCAAGTGTCCCCTTTCTGCTCGTGCAGGAGTGGGCTTGTGCCCGTGTTCTGTTGATGTGGTGGGTTAGAGGGGGTAAAGCCCTGACAAGATGAGGTAAGACAGATTATACATTAATGTCTTTGGACGGTGAGGTAATGTGCTTTTCACTTGTGCAAATTTCTTACACTATATTCTTATATTTTGATGTAAGTAAAAGAAACTGGTTGAGTGATGTTTTGGTTTTCCTAGACGCRGACCAAGAGGGCTGGTCCACTGCCTTTGTGAAGAAATGGCTGCAGACTGATTTCAGCCCCACTTTTATTGCAAATAGGCTGTTTTCTCCTGGAGAATCTGAACAGTACGTTATGTAACCTGGCTAAACTGTTTGATTAGACTTTTATTGTTTAAGTTGTAGGTAAACCTTCAAAATCAAGCTCATTATTGTATATTCTCAAGTGTAATTTAAATAAGACAAGCAAACTTATTTTAATTGTAAAATAAATATTTCCATTAAAATCAAGCCTAGATGTAATATGTTGTTAAATGAAAACATTTTAAATGTGTCACCTTAAAAGAAAGTTGTTAGGTTTGTGCAGGAATTTTCTTTTTTTTTTTTTACTCTTTTATGTCTTTTTGTTTTTTAAATTATGTTAATCAAACATTGTACTACAGTCATGTATAGGTAATCTCTCCCTTGGTGTAAAATTAGTTTGGTGTCAGACTCTGTAGAGCTGGTAACAATATTTTTATTTACCCAACTCTCTTTTGTTTATCTGTATTTTTACTACTGCTTCATGAGCTCTTGTAACAATGTGTAGTTTTTTTAAAGGGAAATTAAGAAAAACCTGAATGTGTTAGAYGGCACATTTTTCTTCGTCTGTGTAGTTAATATCTTACCTGCTTGTCTTTGATCCTGGCTGTAGTTCTGCCATGGATGCTCACTCCCCACCATCGGATCGAGCAGAACAGCAGGCTCCATGCTATCTTGAGGAAGAAGAAGAACTCTTCATCACAGAGCCCATGCAGGAAATCACAGACGGTATTTTTTTTTCGATGTACAGTTAAGTTTAACAGGAGTTTGCATGCCTAACTAATAGGCTGATTGTCTTTTCAGCTCCTCCTTTCATCCAAGTTCCTRCTGAGGACCTGAGCGTAGACCCAGGTCAAGCAGCAACATTCACAGCCATCATCACAGGAAGACCCACTCCTAGGATCCAGTGGTACAAGGTCATACACCTTATAAATATGTGATTATAAAGCTGAATTGGTTGCACAAGGATACATACAGTTGATAATGCATAACTAGGTCACTCAAGTCAATTTTTTTCTGTTTCTTCCTTTTTACTTCACATTTATTTTGACAAATATCCAGCATACTTGTCCTCATTTTTATCTTTTAAAGATAATTCTTTCGTTTTGACTCAAGGATGGAGAGGAACTTGCAGCCAATGAGAATGTGAAGATAGCGCAACACGGCGCCCGCTGCTCGCTGACCATATCGTGCCCTGAGGGGGAGGACAGTGGTGTTTACACCTGCTTCGCTCACAATGACTCTGGCCACGCCTCCTGTGAAGCTCAGCTATCAGTTGAGGAAGGTTAGGCATCAGCACCTTTTCAGTATGGCATCAGTTCAAAGCACAAATTACAGCAAAACATAAAAGCATTTTCTAACTGGAGTTTTTCTGTAGGTCTGCTTGATTCTCAGGAACGAGAAGTGGAGCTGGGCAAGAGAAGGAAGTTATTCTCTGTCTATGACGTCCATGAGGAAATTGGAAGGTGATTTTCTTTTACTTATTTTTATATATGTAGCTCAAGATCTGTAACGCAATAGTATCTGTTCATTTTTAGGGGAACCTTTGGGGTGGTGAAGCGCGTCATCCACAGAAGAACAGGGGAAGTGTTTGCCGCCAAGTTTCTGCCTCTGCGGAGCAGCACTCGGACCAGGGCCTTCCAGGAGAGGGACCTCCTGTCCCGTTTAGCTCATCCCAGAGTGGCCTGTCTGCTGGACTTCTTCTGCACCAAACGCACGCTGGTGTTGATCACAGAAATGTATCCTTTTTACTGCTTCAGCATACCAATCCTCCCTGTTTGGTCATGTGAATACATATATCTTTTGTGAATTCTTTAACATTGTGTGTAGCTGCTGCTCTCATGGACTTCTAGACCATTTATTACTGAGAGGGTTGGTCTCAGAAAGAGAGGTAAATGCAAATTTACTAAAAACAATCAGGTAATTGCTAATAGGATGATTTTTCAAAAACATGTTGATTTTTTTTTTTTTAGGTTCGGTCATATATCCAACAAATTCTAGAAGGAGTTGGTCATATGCACAGCATGAATATTTTGCATCTGGATATTAAAGTGAGATCTTCAGCCGGCAAACCATTTAAAAATTACTGTTCACATTTGTCTCCCTGTAGTTCTTCATTCTACGCTTATTATCTTTCCTCTCCGTTTAGCCTGATAATATTTTGATGGTGTATCCTCCAAGAGATGAGATCAAGATCTGCGACTTTGGCTTCTGCCAGGAAATAGACACGTCCCGACACCAGTACTGTTTGTTTGGCACATCGGAGTTTGTCGCACCTGAGATTGTTCATCAAGAACCCGTCACTGTGGCCACTGATATTTGGTAAGCCTTTTGTTTTTCTGATATCTGCATTTACTAAACCATAAAAAAATGTATATATGTCCAGATATTCTTTAAGAAGGTTAAACGTCTCTCAATTAAAGCTAAGCAAACTTTCATAATGGATTAATCACACATAAATGTAAAAATTTAATTTAAAAATCTTATTTTTTTTCATGCATCAGGGCTGTTGGTGTCATTGCGTATCTGTGGTACGTATCAACGCATTTAAATAAATAAATAAATAAAATAACTTAATAATCTTAATAATACCAAGTTAAAAAATGTTGCATGTGGTCCAATTTTTGTTTGTGTCTGTGTAAATGTTTTAGACATCTTTTTCTTGTTTTATTTTGACAGTCTTGTGTGCCGATGTCCTTTTGTGGGGGAAACGGATCGTGCAACGTTACTGAGGGTCGGAGAGGGAACTCTGCACTGGGACGCCCCTGACGTCACGTGCAGGAGCCCTGAAGTCAACAGTTTCCTTCGCATGGTTCTTCAGCCAGATCCAGAGTACAACTGCAGTCTCATGTTTTCTGCAAAGCCCTAAAGCTTGCTCAAGATTGTTCCTATTTTAAACTGATGCAGCAGTAATAGTGACGGTTATTTATTTGGGTTATTTTATATATGTAATAACAGTTAAATTTACTCCACAGGAAGAGACCTTCAACCTTTGAGTGTTTGAGTCATGAGTGGTTCCAGGTGAAACGAAAAGCAGAGCATCATGTGTAACATTCAACTTTGCATCAATGAACTCTAACACTCGTATGCTATATGGTAAYTGTCACAGGAGGAACACGCAGGCGAGGACACTGAAATGATCAACACAAAGAGTTTAAAAGTCTTTATCTCTAAAAGAAAATGGCAGGTCAGTCACTTTGTTTGTTTAAATAGTTGCTTAAACCAAAGTTCCTACCTGATTTTGCGTAATGCTGAAATTCGTTCAAAATGCTGTTTTTCTGTCTACGCCCCCAGCGTTCTTTAACTTGCATCGGGTCAGTTCTCACACTGAGGCCTATTCCTGAGCTGTTAGATGCTCCTCTTAGTGAAACTTCAGTGACGGTGCCCTGTGAGCCTCAGGAGCACAGCAGCACCTCCCTGAGCAGCGGCTCGTCGTCTGAATACGACGAGGCGGACTCCTGGGATTTTTTCCAACACTGCAGCCAGACCGAGGAGGAGGAAGAAACAGAGGAAGAGTATGATCCCTTAACGGAGAAGGTGCAGCTCCCAGAGCCATTCACCAGACACCACCTGGTTGGAGAGGAGGATGAGGTTGGCACGTTAGGGGAGGAGGAAGAGGATGGGGAGATGTTAGAAAGGAGGAGCGTTCTAGGGAGGAGTGCGAGCAGGCAGTCGCTTGCATCATCAACAACATCAGAACAACTGACGCCTCAGAGGGAGCGACGCTTCAGCAAGGACAGCTCTCCGTCCCTCTGTCTCTCTGATGGAGACGAGGGTTCGGGGAGCGACGGAGGGCGCATCCCACGAGGGAGAGTCATCCGAAGCACCTTCTACAACACCTCCCAGCAGCTCTCGCCGATGTCTGCCAGACACATGACGTTAAGAGACAAGTTCCAGGCCAAAAAGCAGGAGCGAGGCCGCAAGCCTCTGAGGAGGAGCCTCTCGGGACGTCTCAACGAGCCTCTCATCGAATACGTGGAGGACGAAAGCGAGAGTGTCCGCGGACAGAGGCGGGGATCCGTCCAGCCCACCATGCAGAAGTCCTGCTCGTTCGACAGCGGAGTGGGGCTTCTCCAGGCCAATCTGCCCCCCCACAGAAGGAGCAGGTCTCTAGATGATCATTCCCGACGATCGACCAGCTCACCCAGCCGTGCAAAGAGTGAGGAAGAGGGCTCCCAGAGTACGAAGGACGACTTCACAGACGATGAAGCTGCAGGGGGAAACTCGCTGGCAAGCMCACAGCAGGCCACGAGAAGAAGAGGCTCTGTTGCTCCAGGACAAGACCACGGGCCATCTCCTCCTTCAGAGTTCCTTGCTGGAAGCAGAATGATGTCCATGTTGGAGCAGGAGCAGGCAGAGGGAGATACCTTCGCCAGCTCACAAGGGTCTTTGGCTGAGTCCTTTATTTTGGAACATGGTGGCTCTGAATCTTCAAGTAGACTTGGGTCCTTTGAAGAGCTGAGTCATCTTAGAAGGTACAGATCAGGAGAAAGTGATGAGTATGAAGAGCAGGGCGAACCCCTCATTTCACCTTCTCCTTACTCGTTTCAAGAAGTAAAGCCCAGAAGCTCGTTTCCTCAGGCGCCGCCACGTAATCGCACGCGTTCCAATCCAAACTTAGCAGCCAGAAGCAGAGGTTCCACCGACGTGTCACTAACTCCCAGTCCCAGTCCCAGCCTCTCCTCTCTGCAGGCTCCTGAGAGGCCTCCCAGAACCAGGGACAAGAAGCAGGGCTCTGGCCTCCAAAGGCACGCGTCCGCCCCAGCYCTGGAAGTCAGGCCAACCCCAGGAAAATCGCCCAAGCTAGGACTCTTGAAGATCTTCCGCAGGCAGTCCTGGACTGGCCATTCCTATTCACAACTGGAGAACACAGAGTTAGGGCCCACGCTGGGAGAGCTCATGAAGCCTGACACACCTACAATGTCTCTGAGGAAGAAGATGAGAGCTTCAGCTTCCAGTCTGACCAAGCTGTTCTCCAGGTCCACCAGTAAGGAGGATGTGAGCAAAGGAGGTGAGATATGGAGGAAAATTTTAAATCTTATTGGTGCATTATTCTAAGCAGGACATCTTGTTCTTGATGTATTTTCAGTGGTTCTTGAGAGTATAAGCATTACTAAATAAAATATATGATGTAATTAGCTTTATTTTGTGTTATATTATCTTTTTACAGGGCCAATAGTAAAAGGATCAGGTCCAGTCCCACCTGAGAGAGAACGTAGCAGTAGTCTTGACAGAAGAAGCTCAAAACTTTTGTCTTCTTTAAAATTTCCAGCTTTTAAAAAGACAAAAGGTAGCCACTCCTTTGATTCGCAATATATTTTTAAACGAGTTTCACATTTGTATATTTTTCAATAAGGGTGCAAATTAGATTTTCTTGTTTTATGTCCATATCTGTCAGTTCGCCCCAACAAGGCTGATGTGCTGCAGTTACATGGAGGCGGAGTTCTGCTGGTGTGGAGGCCTGTTCAGTGTACCGACCGGGTCACGTACTGTGTGCAGTACTGTACAGATGGTGGGTTTGAAGTGAGGCTATTTTTTTTTATTATGGTGAAAAAAAAACATGGCAAGTTAATGATAAATCAGATTTTTATACTTTTATTTTAATACTGACTTTTAAATTGTAATGGTTTTTCTCAAGTTTTCTTTTTAAAGGTTATGTTTTTTAAACAGTTTTGAGTTTGAGCAAAATTTAATCTCTTGATTTTTCGCATTAGCCAATTATTTTTGATAATTTTAACCCTTTCTACCCAAGTCCTGGTTGTATTTTATGACTTTTATTTTACCATCAAATGTAACTATTAAACGTTTGGCTGAGAAATAATTTAAGTCTATTTGATGTTTTAAACTTAAGCATTGGAAATGTTACACCCAGGACTTTTTWGTGTGCATTTAACTCACAGAATAGTTGCATTTTGTGGTTTTAGCATTATCACTGTATTCTTGTGTCAGTCTGGCAAGGAGAAAGGCCTTTCCATTACAATGTATTGTAAAAGTAGCTTGAATATCGAACATTAGTGTCAAATTAAATTATTTAAACATAAAAAATGAACTAAAATGATTCATTGGAGAAGATGTTTGTAAAGAAAATGTTAGTATATGTGTCTCACATTGCTGTTTTTTCAGGTGGGGAGTGGACAGTTCTGTCAGACGAGGTGACAGACAGCTGCTACGCTGTGAAGGACTTACCCAAAGGTGCGTCTTATGTGTTCAGGGTGGGCTGCATCACCAAGAYGGGAGCAGGACCTTTCAGTGACACTTCAGCTCCCATTGTCATGCCAACTTATCCTGATGGTAAGACAACCCGACTTATAGTTGGTTGGCTCTCTGTGAGTGGTAAACATGCACAAACGCTTCATTTTGATTTTCTTCTTTTGTTGCTTCACAGAGGTCCGCTTTCCTCTTATTCAGACTGAGCTACTTGGATCAATGGTCGCAGGAACAGGACAGCAAACAMTAAAAAACTACAGCTTCCTTTCTGAGATCAACAGGTAGCTGCTGAACAAAACTATTGCTTGTTTCCAGATCCTACATTGTTACAAATATAGTTTAGATCAGAGGTTTTCAAACTGGGGTCCCAGGATCACCAGGGGTCTGAGAGCTGTAGCTTGAGGGTCCTTTAAAAATGACAATAAATTATTTTGTTTTTTTTATTTTAAAAAATGCATAAATGCATATGGAGAACAGTGTACCAGTAGAACAAACACACTAAACCAAACAAAAAATGAAAATTATTTGCATGGCCTGTAGTGGGTTAAAATGGCTTTAAATTATTTTAAACCAACAAGAGGTTTATGAGGGAGTCCCTGGAAACGTATTACCCGTGTAAGGGGTCCGCAGACCCCAAAAATATGAGAACCCCTTGTTTAGATCAAAGCTTTTCAAAGTGAGGGCTGCTGCTCCCTGGGAGGCCAGCAAGGGGTTCTAGGAGACTTCAGAAAGCTGGAGGGAAGATAAGAAAAAAAGCAACGTTTAAAAAATTGAATCTAATAAAAGTTTTAAAT